ACCCTCCGGCGTGTGACAGACACACACTGAGAGTGATTTCCAAAACAAAGAGCTAAATACTCCTGCTTCTATTCACTTCTGTGTGTCTTTTCTCTGTGTCCTTCACTCTCTACCATCTGCTCTCTCGTTCCAGTGTTAAAGACCCCCACCCACCCCAGAACTCACACCAGACCCCCAAAACATGACGCCAGGAGACTCCAGCTGATTGATCCAGCACCATATTCATTAAAAACAGCAGCAAGACCCTAATATGAGTGATGCATAGGTTCTGAAAGTAAATCAATACATGGTCACCAGAACAACATACATCAAGGAACTTCACAGGAACAATGACTCCAGCTGAATCAATGAGCACTGATGAGAAAACATCAAACAAATCCTCACATCTGTTTTTGGGTAGTGATGGTGTGCTAACATTGTATTTAAAATAGATGGAATTCCTTTGAGCATGTCGTCTGTGTATGTACTGTAGGTTTATTTAGCAGTAGCTGGAGACAAAACTGTCTACAAAGGTTAAATATAACAAAACACCCCTTGGTAACACTTTAGAATAAGGACCAATTCTCACTATTAACTAGTTGCTTATTAGCATGCCTATTATACATAATGACTGTTTATTAGTACTTATAAAGCACATTCTGCATGACCATATTCTACATCCCTAATCCTACCCAATACCTAAACTTAACAACTACCTTTACTATCTATTAATAAGCAGCAAATTAGGAGTTTATTGAGGCAAACGTCATAGTTAATGGTTTGTAAATAGCAAAAATTAGGCCTTAAAATAAAGTGTGACCCGTTCTCAAAAGTAACATGTTTAATAAATGAATGAATGAAAAAAAAAATTTTCATTAATGTTTAATAATTTAGATAAATAAATAGTTTTAATAAAAGCTAATAAATAAGTTCTCTTTAAAGTGTAGATTTTTAGTTTGGGTTAGGTTTCACTCAGTAATTATAATTAACTTTAGAAAACAACAAAAAATGGTATGCCTTCATTTAGATATCTGTAGGTAAACACATGTTTTCAAATAAGCAACGCGTTTCAAAAAGCACGTGTTTTAAAAAGCAAATGTTGCTAAGTATCTACACTTTAAACTACATACAAATAATACAGATTCATTCATTATCTTTTACTGTTAAATATTTCCTTAAACTTCTCACACACTAAGGTTTATCAGTCAGCTCAATGAGTTAGAGCTGTCAATGTTTAGACACATGATTCCTGTAGGCTTTATATTTGCTCTGTTTCCTCCTAGTTCATCTAAACATCTAAAGCATAAAATACATAAAGTCACTGCTATGTCTGCTAGGTTAACATATTTGTGTGTCTTACTTTGAGGCAGAGCTCTTCCCACTGGCAGTGCAGATGGTCCACTTGCTCCTGCAGGAGAAGGACGTCATCAGTGAGGATGTACTGGGACAGGTCCGTCTTCATGGTGCTGAGCTCGGAAAGACTGACGGCCCAATCCTCTAAACAATCCTGAACCTCCTGCATAACATAACACACCACCGTCACAAACACTCACAGAAAACACTGCCACACGTCCCAGCTCTGACTCACGCAATCTCTCTCTCTTTTACCCTGTGGCCCAATGAGATTAAAGCCCATGGGACAAAGAGGGAGGGCAGGAGAGAGAAATAGAGGGAGGGAGGAGGATCACTGCTGAATAAGCCTATAGCAGGGAGGAAGGGAAATCCTAAGTGTCATGCAACACAAACAAAAGCTATTATGTGTGGTTTTAGCACAAGCTAAAAGCTAACTTTCACCATAGATGCTTTTAACTTTACCAAACACCATAACTGTTGAGGTGTGTTTTGAGTACAGTATTTATCAGTATTTTATTTTGGTTCTGTTGCTCTTTTATAGAAAAAGTAGGTAATTCTTTACCCCCAGTCATATTTCAGGTGTATTGTTCCTGTAATATGTCAGTCAACAGTATATGAAGCAGTTCACCTTTTAGAGTTAGTGTACCTTCACAAGGAGGCGTTCCTCTTCCATCTCCTCCTGCTGATCTGGGATCGACTGCTTCAGTCTGGCTCGTACCTCATCCAGGCTCTGCACCTGATCAGCTAGTCTGGTCTCACAGGTCTCCCATTTCTGCAAAATAATTTTAAAAACATACAAATAGAGGCTCCTATAATGCTCTAGCATGATTTTGATATAATAGCTTATATAAGCCTCTATATGGGGATGGAGTTATCATTAGTCAGGAAAAGCAAAAATAATGCAGAGAAAACAAAGACAGCTTATATGTGAGGGTAGATCTGTACACACAAACATATGGACAGGTGTCCAGACATCTAATGTGGAAGGTCAGTGTGCACTCCATTAAACCAATGTCTCAGCTCAAGAGACAAATGAAAAGTTAAGACACGACTAGGGGCAATGAAAACACACATGCATGCACAAACACACACCAGTGTGGGGTTATCACAACAACACACACGCATCTACATGCTAATACTGTACACACATATCACATATACAGTATAATACAAGTAAAACCATATTATAATCACACATACTGCACAGAGGAAACTCCCAAGAATATGGCAAAATGTTGCAGTGCACTGGCATTCATTTTATAAGGTGTTGCATGAGAAATGAAGACAGACAAAGTACTGTGAGAAAGAGAGAGACAGAAAGGCTGAGACAGACAGGGAGAGCTGTAAATCCCTAGACAGGCTTTACTATAAACCCTTTAGCACATGACAAGTGCATACACTCATGAACACACACACACACACACACACACACACACACATTGGTTTCCATGTTTTATGGGGACATTCCATAGACATAATGGTTTTTCTACTGTACAAACTGTATTTTCTATCCCCTTACCCTAACCCGCCTAAACCTATGCCTCACACAAAACTTTCAGCATTTTTACATTTTCAAAACACTTTATTCTGTATGATTCATAAGCTTGTTTCCTCATGGGGGCTTAAAAAATTTCGCCACATGGTCAAAATTTACTGGTATTACTAACTATACTTGTGGGGACTTGTCGGTCCCCATACCATAGTGAATACACACACACACACACACACACACACACACACTGCCTTTGTTTTCTGTGTCTTCATATTATCTAAACTACAATCAAGGCTAACTATGGATGAGAAGCAGAGAAATAGATATATTGCGACAGAACAAAGACAGACAGAGAGGCAGAAAGACAGACCTGCATGAAGACTTTTCAGGTCAGTAACACTGATATTAATATTATTGTGCTTGTATGTTCGTGTATTAGTGTGTGTAAAGGTCTGATCTGGATTAGTCCAGCTGTGGAATCAGAGGGAATGTAGGTCAAACACAGCTGGACTCATTCCTGCAGAAAACCACCATAATACAGAATATTTTATACACACAATACAACATTTAGTGTTGTCCTGCATCATTCTAGAATGGGAGTATATAATGGCAGGTCCATACACGGACAGACAGTGTTTGTTCTCTGAAGCATCTCTGAACATAAGATTGACAATCCATAACCAGCTGTTTACTATCTAAGCTGCTATTTCTTATCTAATCATAAAATCATATAAAATCATAAAATTCCAAGGGCAAATTTCACTTTGCAGTAGCCTGTTTTGTTATATAAACTTTACCCTCATAAATACTGATATGCAGATATAAATGATATCTGGCATCTAGAAAATACTTTTCTATTTGTTCATAATTACAGGATTTAAAAAAAAAAAAAATTCTATTATAAAATATTTTACAGCTGAGCATCAAAAAATTGTACATGTATATACTGTATATCAGTTTTTTTCTGGACATTTCCCTGACTTTTTAACAATTAATTTCTCAGGTTTAAAAGTCACAAATTTAAAGTTGCCTAACGCTTCCACACTTCCATGATCATGAGAATCCTGTTTTAGAAAAAAGCCTAACACCCTCACATAGCTTTATGGATTTCCCATGTGACCTTTGACCTTCAACATAAGGATAAGGATAAATATTGTGACATTATCATCATTATCATATGTTTACCTTGTAAATGCAACAGAGCCAAGCAATAAAACACAAGAGTTAGTTCATTCAAAGGTCCCATTTCAAACCCAATCAATCAATCTTACCTTTACGATGTCAGATGTGAGAGTCTTTCTCTTTCCCAGCATGCACTGGCATTGCTCCCAATCCTCCTGCAGGGCTGCCAGGTCTGTCTGCAGCTGCATCTGCGTCTGTGTGTCACTCACTGAGAACAGCTGCCTGCCTACCTCCATCACACACAGAGACGCAGAGACTGACCTTTGAAACAACAGCTCTGTTCGCTTTACAGGGACAGAGAGAGAGAGAGAGAGAGAGGAGGGAGAGAGTGAAGGGGACAGACAAAAAAGAGAGAGGGAGAAATGGTGAAAAAAAGCCTGACTCTTGTCACTAACAATTGCAAGCTAGGTGTCAATAGATTAAATTATAGTGTAAATATAGAAAAAAATCAATTAATTCACTTAATTAATCAAAAAATTATGAATAATAAACATTTATAGGGCAATAAGTGTTTGACGTATTATATTTGAACATATAAAATTGATAGAAATGTATATGCAATTATTTTAGGTGTTTTAGGTATGTATAAAAGCTTGGGATTTTTATTCAGCAAAGATCAAAGTGGCAGTAAAAACATAATCTTACAAAAGGTTTCTATTTCAATAAACGTTGTTCTTTTGAATTTTCAATACAAAACTCACAATTTCCACAAAAAGATTAAGCAGCACAACTGTTTTCAACACTGATAATAATACATGTTTTTTTTAGCACCAAATCAGCATACTGCAATGACTTCTGAATGATCATGTGACACGGAAGACTCAAGTGATGATGCTGAAAATACAGCTTTGCCATTATAGGAATAAATCACATTTTAAAATATATTAAAATAGAAAACAGTTATTTTAAATTATAACAATGTTTTACAATATTAGGCTACTGTTTTTAAAGTATTTTAATCAAATAAATACAGCCTTGGTGAGAGTAAGAAACTGTGAGTTATACAATATCTTCATCATTAATGATAATGATATTTGAAAATGATCTTGTTACCTTCAGATCTTTCAGCAAGAGGCGCAACTGCAGGACACTACAGTGTGTGGGACCAGCAGGCGACAAGAGTGTGTGTGTGAGTGTGAGGAGTTTGCGGAGTTTCTGCATTGTGTGTGTATAAAGCTGCCAGTGCTGTATGAGCCCTTCCACTAGAGCACGCTGTTGAGCTGCTCTCTGCACCGCCCCCTGCCAGTGCTCTCTCAGCTGTGTCAGTTTTAACAGGAAGTCACTCCTGAGGGCACAGGCAAGGTGGTTAGTAAAACTACAAATCCTGTGTTGAATTCCAAATATAAAGCTTATAAGTGTCAACTTAACATTTATAAGTAGGACATTTCATGACAAAATGATAAAATACTACATTACACAATGTTTCAAAAGTTTAGGGTCAGTACAATTTCTTTAATGTTTTTGAAAGAAGTCTCTTATGCTCCCTAAGGCTGCATTTATTTGATCACAAATACATTAAAAACAGTAATATTGTGAAATATTATTACAATTTTAAACAACTCCTTTTAATTTTAATATATTTTAAAATGTAATTTATTTCTGAAAGGGCAAAGCTGAATTTTCAGCATCGTTACTCCAGTCTTCAGTGTCACATGATCCTTCAGAAATCATTCGAATATGCTGATTTGGTGCTCATGAAACATTTCTCACTGTTATCAATATTAAAACAATATTATAGTTTTTTAACATTATAAATGCCTTTACTTTCACTTTAATGCAATTTAATGCATCCTTGCTGAATTAAAGTCCTGATTTCTTAAAAAAATCATACTAACCCCAAACTTCTGAATGATATTGTCACAAGCCATCATGCAAAACAGAGATTGAAAAAAAAAAAACATGTTGCGAATCGTTACCTGTCCTCCACATCTCCCTTCTGCAACAGGAGGAGAGATTCACTGATCACAGAGTGAAGGATCTGATGGCCTAAAGACAACTCAGCCTGAAAACACTAGAAGAAAAGGAGAGAGAAAGATAGATTTTTATTGGATCTATTATCCATATGTCTTGCATTTGGGGGGGTGTCGACTGTTGTACCTGGTGCGTTCGTTGTTGTTCTCTTAGTCCAGGGTAAGTTGATGCGATTTCTACAGCCAAACTGTCCTCCATGCGCTGTAGGAAAGCCAGCCAGCTCTCACATCTCTGCTCAAAGCTCTGCTGCTGGAGAGAGGCTGCCTGCAACTCACTAAACACACAATATACACATAAACATGTAATATGCTTTGTGTTGAATCCGATATTAGTATCTTTCTAAGGTTATCAGATTGTAAGTGCTAGTCACCTGCATTTCTCCTGAGCATGTGCAGAGGCCTGTGCCCACTTCCTGTTGAGGTGCTGAAGCCTCTGTGTGACAGGGTCACTGAGGGTCAGCCTGTAGCTGAGTGTGTTTATCAGATCCAGATCAGGAGAGAGAGAACTGACCTCCATGAGACCTGACTGTAAACAAGGAAATACAGAAACTGTTAATAATGGGGATTTCTTAAATAAAATGATGTGGTTGAGTTATGCATGTGTGTTTACCACCTGAGATATAGCTGTGAGTTTGCTGTCTATCCGTTGCTTGCTTTCCCACTGCTGCAATTGTGTTTCGAGGGACTGGAATAACCTTTCAAATTCTTGAAATTGCTCAAGATCCTCCTGAACAGACACACATGTTTTGAATTAAAGGAATAGTCGAAAATTCTGTCATCATTTACTCACCCTCATGGTTTTTTTTTTACAGACTACTATTATGATACTTAATGGTGCTATCATTGTGGGGGTTTTTTTGGTCATTTTTGGAACTTGACAACAACAGATGAGTTTTGAATGAAATGAGAGTATATACTTCAAACACTTCCATGCTTATTAAAACACAGAGGAGTGTAAGTCTTACCTGCATGTGTTCAATTCTTCCTTTCAGAGTCTGTTCTAACTGCAGGTAACCACGTGTTAACAAACGGCATTCTGATCTGATGTAAACAGCATCCTCATCAACCATCTGTTCAATCAGATCCTTAGATACTTCCAGCACTTCATTCAAATCAGTCTGTAGAGTCTCTGAGCATTTCTGTAATACCTAAAAGAAGGAAATAAGGACAATAACATAGTCTGTGACATATACTGTAATGGAGTCCAAAAGTCTTTTGCATTTTGTCTTAATACTTTTCTTATTATATTATATTATATTATTATACTATTTTTTATAGACTCTGACATGATTCTGCACTATTTATAGGTCAGTAATCAAATAATTAAAAGTAATATTATATTGTAATATATTGCCTGTTTGATTACTTATCTAGAAATATTGCATAATAATTTCCTCTTCCTTTTACATCATAACTTTGTGTTACATCATCACATCATTTTCATTGTGGTCTGGACCCCACTTAAGTGTGTGTGTTTAAATGGATGGTTACCTGTGAATATCTGTGTCTTTGTATTGTACTCACAGTCTTCAGCTCTGCGATGCTGTGTGTGAGTTTATTGTCAGGGGGTGTTTTGGTGTGTGTGTTGAGCTGCTCTTTGAGATGTTGGAGCTGCTCTGAGCAGGAGCGTCTCACATCAGAGTATCTCTGCCACACTTTCAGAAGACTGTGTGACCTCTGCAAGGTGTGGGTGACCTTTTCCTTCACCTCTGACCACCTACAGGGTGACACAACGTGTAGGAGCTTGAACATTTACATACACATTCGCATTGCTTTGCTGGTATGTGTGAAGTCTAACCTTGCTTTTTCTTTTTCTAGGTGCTCCGATAACACCTGGGCAGAGTCTGGGCTAATTCCACCAATAAGAATTGTTGTTGTCTTGGTAAGATCCTCCCACTGGCTGTCAATTTCCTTTGTCTCTGCTTTTAAGACCTGCAGATATAATTTGTGAATATATACATTATAATACATATCTCTGTCAAGCCAAAGGTTTACTTTTAATTAACAAATTTTACACATTTAAAAAATATGCAATAATATATCACATATTTAAATTCAATAAAATATGTTATACTGTGACCAATCAGAAATAGCTTGGGAATAAAAAAACTATGTGGTTGATTGACAGCACCTGTATCTTATCAATGTTGTTCTGGAGGGCAGAGAGGGAGGGCAGAGGGGCGTGGCAGTACTCTAGTGATTGGCAGATCCTCATTGTGTTTAAAACTGCCTGACTCCTCCCACTTTCAAACTGAGACCACACCTTACACAGCTCTTTCAAGGTATCCCCAAGGACCGTACTCTAGAAAATGAACTTTTATTATTAAATTCCTAATTAAACACACTCAAGAGTGTTTATAAATATTTTTTGGTTTTGTTTTAATCCACAGGACCAAGTTTTTGTCTCCATACCTGTTGAGAGAGGTCAGTCAAAGATTGTGAAAGATTGTGAGCTTTTGAGAGGAAGTCTTTATCCCTGTCTTCTTCATCAGTGGTAAGTCTCCTCTTCCTCAGCTCAGCAAGTTCTGAGAATTTAGACTTCAACTTTTCCCCCAGCTCCTGAGAATGAAAGATTGACAAGTAAACTTCCTCTAAAATGTAATATAAATAAATTCCAATAAAAAAAAAAGCTTTTTGAAAGCTTTTAAAGTAGGTGAGCATTAACATAATCAGTTACCAGAACCAGAAAATATCAGCCACTCACTTCACAATCCTTCAGGCTCCTCTCAGCAAATGAGCGACTGATAGGTCTTTCAGCCAATCGCATCCATTGTTTTTGACCTTTGACCCAGCGCTGTAGGATTTGTAGTTTGTTATCTCGCTCTGCAGACATCCTCACCTCATCTTCAGCATGTTGGATCTGAGAAACACAATGCAAACCATGTTAATCTGAATTGGTTAGCGGAATAATAATAAATAATAATAATAAACTCACCAGTGTGTTCAGGTGAGCCTGTAGAGTTTTCCAGCGCAGATTGACGTGTCCCAGGTTTTCAGCAAATGCAGTGTGTTTGTACCTGCTAGTTTGAGAGTCAAAACCAACCTGCTTCAGCTCACACTGATTAATAAAGTCAACAGACATCTGCTGACATGCCATCTCTCTCTTCATCCCCTAGACAGAAAGAGAATAAGAGACAGGTATGACCAAAACTATTTTTTTTTTAAATTTGCATAAAAACAACTTCACCATCAGTAAATTCAATAAAATTGTGTTCTGTCAAAAAAGTCTAAAGAGATTTATTATATAGGGAAAAAGAAAAGTAAGAGTGAAATAGAGAGAGAGAAAGTGATTTTTTGTATTTGCTGAATGTTACTGTCTAAGATTTACTTTGTACTTCACACTTTTTAATTTCATGCAGCTAAGCTGCAAACATTTTGGCAATGCAAGTTTACACAGTTGTGTCAAGTCAGTAAAGCACAAACTGAAATTGAAAGAGAAAAGAAAGAGAGGGTTAATTACACTGGCACATTTTTTCTTTAGTTATTTTCATACAGTTTTCCTTTGTGTTATTTATCTAAGCTTTCTAAGTGAACTCTGCATTATATTTTATTTTATTTTATTTCAATATTGTTTCTTACTTTATACTCTTTAAAACTCTTTAGCTCTGTTTTAAGGCAAAAAAATTGGCAATGCAAATGTATGATTTTAATGCTAATAAACCACAATAAATTGAAAATGTAATGAAAGAGAAAAGAACTGTTCAATTATTACTAAACTTGTAATTTCTTCCTTTTTGTTATATTTGTACTTTATACTATTTATTTTACTATAACTGAATAAATTACTTTCAGATTTATAGTTACTTTTTTAATCATTTTATTCACATACAGTATATGTGCTGATTTCTTTACAATTTGTTATTTTTACAAGAAAAAACAATAATCTGTTATTTTGCACTGTTGATTAATTTTGGATAAAATAAAATCCAAATCGAAGATAATTATTTTATTTGCTAATTACTGGAATTTTTTTTTAATTGATAGAGAGATAAAACACAAGCAAGGTACCTGACATGTTCTGAGCAGGTGTGTGAACTCTGCAGCAGTACAGGTGTTGTGACCCTCTCGTTCAGCCGCCTGTAACCTGCTCTCAGCACCCGTAATCCAGCCACACACATCAGCCAGCAGTCCTTCAGGAGATATGCTCTCCACCACACTCTGAGAGAGAGAAAGAGAACAGAGAAATGGGCATAAAGTAAGACGAAAGTGATAGACAGAGGTGGAGAGAATAGAGAAGAAAGAAAACAGTGGAGCCGGGTGAGGGGTGACACATGTAATCAAAGAAGAAAGAGAGACCTGATAATGGATAATAACTCTATTCCTCAAAGATTTCATCAACTTCTCAGTAATACAGGAAATCATGCCTGGATGGCTGCCTGACCTCCATGATAAATTTTTATACATGATGTTCTCCTTCAGAGAGACAATGCTCCAAACAGAAGAACATGAAACTGACAGGTCTTAATTTCCAACCATCCAGGATGTAGTTAGTAATGGAGTAAAATGTACCTGATGCAGTTCCTGTTGGACGACAGGAATATGTTTCTGTATTTCCACCCAGTCTTGCTCCACCTGAGTCAGCTGGGACTGTAGAGTCAGAAGAACTGGGGACAGAACCATCTCTTGTTTTACAGATAAATCGAATACAGATGAGGTTGGTTCCTCAAAGAAAACACCTTCATTTGTGATCTTTCCATCTGATTCTTCCGTGGTAGAAAGATTTTCTTCTGAGAGGATGTTTTGAATAGAGGAAAAATTGGTTTCTGAAGGTAAGGTGACATCTACAGATGAGGAGTCTTCAGGGTTGTTATCTAGGACAATGGAGGTCTGGTTGCTAGTTTCACTTGGCTGTAGGTCTTCAGAGGTTGTTGTATTTCCAGAGGGAGTGGAGGTTCTTGGAGCACTGGTGGTTCTGCTGATCTTCTGTGTCTCAATGTTCTGCTCTCTTTCATTGAGCAACAGGATCAAAGATCCAGAACTGATCACTGATGCCTTTAGGGCCGATTTCACCTCTAGCTCCTTCATGAACTCCTGTGTCAAAAACATCCCAGATACAAAAATGTCCTAATATAACCAGTGTTGTAATCATTAAAACTAAACCTATTTTCATTATTTTCATTAGTTGAAATTAATATTAAGTTAACTTGCATAAAAGAAGGTTTCCCTGTTGAAAAAGCAGCATATGCTGGTTAGGTATGTTTTGAAGCATGGCAGCCGGTCATGAGCTGGTTTAAACTGGTCATGTGCTGGTCAGCAACTAGCTCCTGCTCAGGACCAGCTCATAACCAGCTTATAACCAGCTCAGGACCAGCGTAAACCAGCTCATGACCAACTAAGGACCAGCTTAAACCAGCTCAAACCAGCTGCCATGCTTCAATTACAGGTATGCTGGTTTTTTCAACAGGGTTTATGTAGCTTTTAATTATTTGATTGTTCAAAATCATCTAAACTAAAAACGAATGATTAGAATCACTGGTTGACTGACTGTGAAGTGCTGAAAATGGGAGAGGGTGTCCGGTTCCTGTTCAGCTGTGGTCATGTGATCTCTCCATGTATGAAGGCGCTCTCTGGCTTGTCGCATCCACTCATTCAGAGCCTCTGAATCGTTTTGGTACCTGGAAAAAAGTGTAGTGGTAATTCTTTATATTTTTCCTTTGTGTGAATTTTGAGCATTTTTTGATTTTAAAAGACTGAGATAGCATATAATTCTGCACATTGTGTAATGAAATGGCAAGAATTCTTTCAGAGTGAAAACTCTGGTTGACTTAATTTTACCCACATCATTCATTTTTACCTTTTCCAAAGCTTCTTAAGATGGTGGGTGGGGGGTAGTCCTTGCTCCACCCTCCTTTGAAGTGCAGCCAATCTCTGTTCCAGTTTTGCTGTAGACACACCCACTATGCATATAGGCACACCCACATCACTACTAGAAATCTGCTCCTGCTGTCTGCGGCCCTCATCCAGAACCAGACTGATCCGAGCTCTATTCTTCTCCAGAACCGCCAGCACACTCTATCACAAACAACAAGAATTCAAGGATCTTCAAAAATACATGCATTCTGTTTTAAAGGTATACATATATGTGTGTCAGTTCACTATATATAAGTCTAAACCATTACCTGATAGACAGAAATATTCTCGCTGAGCTGCTCCTCAGTTTGGTCCTGCAGACGTGTTATGGGAAGTTGAGTCTCTAACCTTTGCAGAAGCGTATCTAACCAGGACTGATTTTCATCCCAGTGAGTGCAAACCTGAAATGCATCAAAGTCCTTATCAAGGGCAGAGGAGTATTAACTAAAAATATATTCAAATCGGCTGTTGGTCATTCAGTCTACAAGTTAATTTATTCATGCACTCATCAATCCCATTTGCTTGTTCTTTTATATATACTGTACATCAATCTCTTTTGCATTCTTGTATCTCTTGGCTAATTCAGCTTTCAATACAGAAAAACTGTAAAAAGTGTCATTCCACATGATCTCTTGATTCTTTCGCTCTCGTACCTGCAGCCCTGAGTGCAGCACTGTGCCAACAGCCTGAGCCTGCTGCAGGACACTGGACACTTGACGTTCAACCTCAGACACTTCAGTCTCCCAGCCAGAGGCGGCGCTATCTGGCATCCACACACTCAGTTGCTGCAGTCTCCTCAGGTGGGCACCCAGAGACAGGAAAAACGCCTATAGATTTACAAAGTTAGGGAGATGAATGAGAGATTATATATAGTAATGTTGCTATAATGTGCATGATTCATGTGTGATGTAATGTATATTTGTTTTGGGTTTTTTTTTGTATTTGTGCAGCTGATTAATTTGTGTGTGTATTTAGCTAGGATGTTTGAAGGTGTGTGATATGTTTACCGTGTGTGTGTTGAGGTGTGTCTGTATTTGTGCTGGATTCCTGAACTCCAGCTGAGAGGTGCAGGTGAGTTTCTCTCCTCCAATCGTCAGAAGCATCTGCAGACCCTTCAGGATTTTTTCACTCATCTTCTGCTCATCTAGACTCCACTGCACAACTCCACAGCGCTGCTCTAGATCACTCCAAACACTCTCCAATACCGCCTACAGAGAGTGTATATTACAATTTAATATGTATATTATTATATTGAGTAAATTCGGACTTTAATTACAATTGTGCCCCATGCTTGCTAACAGGAAATGAATTGTAATTTAAAAGACATTTTATAATAAATTCTGAATGCTGCACATCCATACCTCCAGTGTGCTGATCTGCTGTGTGAGGGACGAGGGCTGATCTCGACTCTCTGTTTCTTCTTTAAGTTCTGCCAACTTTCTCTCACTCTGCTCCACTTCCCGTTTCCATCCAGTGATGGCCTTCATGTGGAATCACAAATACAGAAAGGTCAAAATCTTAGAGTTTAGGCACAGTGAACACCTAATGCTGTTATACAACATATCTGCACTAACAAATGATGCTTTTCCAATCAAACGAGTGGATCAAAACTAATAAGAAAAATGGTTTCTGGTGCAAGAAACCTTGGCTAGCATTATGAGTGGTTTTCAGAGGAAACATTATAACTTATAAAATGCAGAGAGGTGAAGTGGCACCGAAGTCAGCAAATGTACACTGAAGACATCAGCATTTTTTCTTGCAGATATGTTAAAGAGTATTAGGCCTATTTCTCCAGTAGTGTTTAATCTTCACACACACATCCTGATGTGTTACAAGCTGTGTTATTCACAGGCTTGTGTGCTTACCTGCAGCTGTGTGTGAAGGTCATAGTGGGTTTCTCCATTAGTTGTAGGGTGAAGGATTGACGCATTAGTTAGTATTAAGTCATGCAGGTCTTTCACTCTCTTCTGCAGGGTTTGACACACAAGGAAATATTACAAATGAGTCATGCTTGATTAAAAAAGGTCAAAATAAAAGTACAAACGAGTAGACCTTAAATACTCATCTTAAATGCAGAGATAGAATTATGGGCTTAAACACGAGACTGAAGAGAACATTATGTCTGACATTATGATGACAAGTTGTTTCATAACAAACAAGTGTGAGTATTTGTGACAGTTATGAAGGCGAGACATCCGAAGGTTTGGGGCGTTAAAACCTGCAAAAATGTAACTGCTGCTGACACACAAATTTTCTGAACCATGTTTCTAGTAGTAACTTAAACTGCAGGAGTATTTTTAAGTGACTGCACACACATCTCATCACTTTGTGCTGGTAATAAGCAGATAAAAGTCTGACCTGCAGCTGAGTCGTGTGTTTTAATCGTTCCTGTAGCTGCTCCTGTTTATCAGCGAGAGTCTTTTGAACGTCACATACACACTGCCTCAGCAGGTCAAAACAAGTGGAGGTCTCTGATATCGCTGAACCCAAACCTAACAACTTTATGACCTCTGACCCCTGGGAGGTCAATATGGCACCCAAGGAGATCAGCTCTGCAGATAAACCCTATAAATCAGAGAAGAAATGAGGAGTAATGCATAAATGAAGTGACAGACAGATGGTCTGATGGATGGCTGAATACCTGTAGCTGCTCTAATTGGTTTAATATTTCAGTGTTTAAGGTTGCTGGCTGAAACATAAGAGTGTGTGTGAGAGAGTTGAGCGTGAGATCCACTCCACTCAACACCTCAAATAGACCTTCATCCAGAGATTGATCCTGCACACAGGCACACAGAAAGATCAGTTAAATATATTTGTTATCAAGTTGGACAGTATTGACTGAATGTGTACTCTTATCTTGAAAAGAGAGTATCTGTTATGCTACACATCTTTTTAAAATGTTATGAACAGTAATCCTGTGTGTTATGTGTGTTTGTTATTCATGTAATTACCTTTGTAACTGCTGAGTTTTGCAGTTCTTTGAGTTGTGAGATGTTGGATTGAATCTCCTGGAGACAGAAAGAAACAGCAGCTCCAGTCCACAAACACACAGATGGAGCGAGGATCTGTTCACACACACAAATATCGCAATGTTCTTTACTTAAAATAACGCCCACATTAAAATTACTACACATTAAACATTAGCAAACAGAAACTTTAAATAAACATTTGGAGAAAATCAGGAGTGTTCAGACCTCAGATGGATCCTGATCTTTATCTCCACCTTGCTCTGTCTCTGCTGTCTTGGTCAATCTGCTGCAGAGGTGTGTCCACTTCCTGTGGACTGCTGCTAACTCTACTTCCTGTCTTTTATCTTCATTTGCTGGTGAGGGGCTGCAGACATCATGGAGTGTTATATGGCTACAAAGTCTAGGCATATATTTGTATAAATAAGGGTGTGTATTTAGATACCCTGCATGTTCATCTGTGCTCTGGCTCTGTGTTTGGGCTCTGCTGCCTTGAATTGCAATAGCTTTAGTTAGATCCTTCTGTTCATTCAATCCATGCTCCAGTTCCTTAAACAGACAAAGAAAGAGAGTGAAAGAGCCGGTCTCAGTGATAATGATGGACTGACATGACATTTCATAGACTTAGAAGCATTAAAACAGGTTAAAAATCAGTAATGTTTTGTAATTCAGGACATCATTTTCCAGCAGAAGTGTCTGAAACCAGTGTTGGGAAGGTTACTTTGGAAATGTAATAGGTTACAGATTACAAGTTACCCTATTTAAAATGTAATAGTAGTGTAACTATTTCAATTACTTTATTAAAGTAATGTAACTGATTACATTTGAATACTTTTTGATTACTTTTCTAAATTTTTAACAAATGTTTTAAAATAATTTTTTTTTTCAAACATTTAAAGCAGTCACGGTTAACTTTACAGTAGGACTCAACACTAGTTAGTATCAGACTTTCAAAATCCTTCTTCACTTGAATTAAGATAATAATTATTTAATTTAAAGCACGGCCACCACAAAATCAGACTTTAGCAGCTATGTTTACTTTGAGATCATTCTGCGGTTAAATACAGATTTATGATCATAAGATACAGTTTAATACTAGCTTTTTGAAATCAAAATATTTGCATAGCCATGACAAGTAACACTGGCATCTAGCAATGCTTTGGGGAAAAAAACTGTTAATCTTTAAAAAAAAATAAAGCATATACATAAACCCAAACAGGAAATAAAACAGTTATTGAATAAGCATGTGTCCTATTCTGTGTCCTAAACTCCTGAAACATTGGTGTCTCATATTTTAGAGCATTCGATGCAATTTGGGAAAGAAAGAAATCAAATCTGTACGTGTGTGAACATATTCAGATGTAACCCCCTTTGTAATCTTTAACATTTTCATAAATAACTGTAATTTAATTACACATTTTTTCTTAGTAACTGTAACATATTACAGTTACATTTATTTTGTAATTAAATTACGTAATTCCGTTACATGTAACTAGTTACTCCCAAACACTGTCTGAAACTATAGCTGTCATGGAGTTACATAGTACCTTTATAATATCCAGGTTTTATTGCTAATTAAAAAAACGAGTACATAATTTTATAAATATTTTATTTCATTTCATTTTATTTGAACCTGAAATGTGAAATCAAAAATATACACTACTTCAAAAGTTTGGAGTCAGTGGGATTTATTTTAAAATAATTAATAATTTTATTCAGCAAGGATAGGTTAAACTGATCAAAAGAGACAGCGAAGACATTTATAAATTAATGCTACAAAAGATTTCTATTTCAAATAAATGCTACTCTTTTGTACTTTTTATTCATAAAAGAATCCTAAATGTATAATGGTTTCCTCAAAAATATTAAGCAGAACTTTTATAATAATAAATGAGTTCTTGGGCACCAAATCTGAAGACTGGAGTAATGGGCTGCTGAAAATTCAGCTTTGTCATCAAAAGAATAAATTACATTTTATAATATATTAAAATAAAAAATTGTATTTTAAACTGAAAAAAAAAAAAAAGATTTAACAATATTATGGTTTTCCTGTATTTTACTGTAGTTTTGATCAAATACAAGCAGCCATTAAAAAATCTTACCAACCCCCCAAAATAAAATCTGCGTTAATGGTAGAGAGTTAGTAGAAATATTGTCAGAGCAAGAAAAAACCTAATCTGACTATATATAGGCTAGTAAAAAATCCTTATTGTTAAACCCTGCAGAGACACATTTTTCAAGAAAGGTGAGCTATAACTAATATTTTAAAGTGTGTGAATGAATGTGTGCATTACCCTTTGTTGTTGAAGGCTGCTCTGTCTAAACAGTTTGGTTTTGGAAGAACTCAACATCTCCTGCACACTGCTGCTGCGCGTCAACCTGGCCTGCAGGGGGCGCTGACTCTCAACATGCACCTGCAGACAGAGAGAGACAGAAACATAACACCTCAGACAGCCCTATTTTCAGAGCTCAAATCCAGGCACTTTGCTGCCTCTCACTAGCAACACTTCTAGATTTAATACCTCAGAATCAGCAAATGTGAAAATCAGCAGCAATTAGCATGCTAATGATCACTTTCTGTCATCACATGCAATCTGTTCATTAAGTACACCTGGATTACGCTGTCCCCAACATAAAAAACAGACATTTTGTGGTTGGTAACAGACTAAATTCTGGATGTATTAGTGTATGTGTGTCTGTGTACCTGATCTTCGCCGTGTCTCTCTTGCAGCTGTAACTGGACTGTCACCAGTCTGTTCTTCAGCAGCTGGAGTTTGGTGTTGAGCGATTCAGCCTCATGTTGCTCCTGTTCTTTCAATCCACACACAGGAAGACTGGAGATTCTCTGTTCAATCTCCACAAGAATTGTCTAGATGGATGAAAAAAAAAACAATTACAAATCAACATACACTCAAACTAAATTCTAAATCACTCTAACACAGCATACACTCATAGTGACAACAAAAAGTTACAAAAAACACCTATTAAAGCTGAGGTTCAAAGGTAATAAACACCATAAAGATCAGAGTCCTCCTCAGAGAATGAACTAGCAGGGCTGAGAGGCAGGTGACAGGTGTTTAATGCACCATTTGACACATTTCACACAACGCTTGTACTTGGAAAAACAAATATGAACAAAAATCTCATTAATAATCCAACACACAGACTTTAGATGGGGATCGATCAGTGTCTGTCCACCTGTACATCCTGCAGCAAACACTGAGTGCATACAGCACATAATTTTTTCTTAATAACTTAATGATGATTCCTTGATGATGATAATTATCATAACTTAAAGGGATAATTCATTCAAAAATGACAATTCTGTCATTATTTACTCACTCTCATGTTTTGAGAATATGTGTCTGTTTGTGTCTTATGAAAAGAAGCCAATGGTCATCAAAACTGTTTGGTACCAACATTCTTCAAAATACCTTATTTTGTGTTCCACAGAAAAAAGTAAGTTATGCAGGCTATTATGGAAGCCTGTTTTGTAATACTGAGTTTATATGTAACAAATCCCACTTTTTTCATGCAATCATGTGTATATAAACTTGCAATTCTGAGAAAAAAAAATTACTTTTTATATTTTTTAAATTCCTTGGTGGAAACCAACTTCCATAGGTTTTAAACGACATGAGGTTGAGAAAATGATCACAAAATTGTAATTTTTGGGTGAACTATCCCTTTAACACATTCTTGACCAGAACCAAATGTATACAAATGATCAGATATATTTTTCTACAGGCTGATTGATTCCTGCATATGATGGCTGCTGGTGTGTTTAAGTGGTAGTTATAACCGTTTACCAGGTCACTGTGCTGGAGCTCGGCTGAATCTCTGAATCTTTGATGAAGGAGTTGGGTTACACACACACACACACACACACACACACACACACACACACAAAGGTGAGTGCACTGCATATCTGGTTTAACCACTTTAAAATGCCAAACAGCACAATGAGACGGAATGTTCAATGCCAAGCTCAAAAAATCAGGAGAGCATAAACATCTGTATTCCTTTTAGGCTTTAAGACACACTTCAAAAGATCTGACAGGCTAAATTATTCGATTTAAATGGGGAAACTTACAAGGAACTCGTAGAAAAAATATTGCATCAGCACTTGACAGATAAGCTATCTTTCTCCTAAAGTAACTTTAAATGAAAGTGAGCACTCAATAACTGAAATATCTGCATAGTGTTTCCTTAAGAAAGGAGAAGTTGAAATTCATGATGCATTGACACGTTCATGCATCGGAAATACAGCGCTGTGTGGGTTTACAGACATGCTCATGCATGTTATGTGTATAACATGTATGTGTGTTTAAAAGAGAATAAAATAGGTTGAGAGAGAAAGGAAAGAAAGAAGCAGGCATCGATATGTCTTCACTCCACCCGAAAAGTAAATAACAGACTCATATTATTTGGTTCATTGAGCCATGATGTACAGTACTGCCCACTCACTCACTTACTGTACACTTGCATTTCCAATGCTTATAAACACAAATATAAGCATTTAACTCTAGCGATTCAGCGCTAAGATTTACCTGCAGTGATTTAGCATTAAGAGCAAAAGCAGTTATCCATCATCAAATAAGACAATAAAACAAAATAATTATTTTGTTTCCATAATCACTGAAACCAATCTAATCTAATCTAATCTAATCTGCTCCTGACTGTATTTCAGCCAATCAGTATTTTTGTACACTGTAACTATTATTCTAAACAAATAATACATTTTCAGTCTAACCAGAATTCTAAGTTAAAATAAACTTTGACAGTCTATTAATCATAAAGACTGCATTGTGTTTAAATGTACATCATGAGATCTGAGCTTGTGTCCTGTGATTACTGCCATCGGCAAACACTTAGATCTCCAAGCAATAAAAGAGTTTACAGTTGTAAAACACTGCAGAAAAAGAAAGACAATGAAAGAGCAAGGCACAAAGAAAAAGAGAAAGACTTGATTATACAGGAGAGAACTGATTTCTACAGAAACTGATAATGATGTCTTTTAAAGTTTTATAGAACTGAACAGTTCTACTTTTTTACAGACAGAAACATTAGAAGAAGATTGTATGATCGTGTCAGATTGGTCTGTAATACTCATGGCAGGTTTAGAGGCAACTTTATTTTGAACGGAGCCAAATATATAACCAGGATCAATGTGTGACAGATCTCAGCTCTGAGCACTTCCTGTTCTGCTGAGTCAGCATCAGCAACAACAGTAGCAGAGGGAATATGTGTGTGTTTTGTCTTTTTTTTATTATTTTATTATTTTATTTTATTTCAAAATGTCAATAGATTTTAGTCATTTTTATTTTAGTTTTAGTCATTTTAGTACATTAATTTAGTAAATTAATTTAGAGAAATGTTGCCTTGGCTGAAGTTTTTATATTTTATTTCAGTTGACTTTTATTTGATTTCAAATGGTTTTAGTGGTAACACTTTATTCTAAGCACCAATTCTCACTATTAACTAGTTGCTTATTAGCATGCATATTACTAGTATACTGGCCGTTTATTAGTACCTATAAAACACATATTAATGCCTTATTCTCCATGACTATAGTTTAGATCCTAGCCCATACCCAAACTTAACAACTACCTTACTAACTATAAATAAGCAGCAAATTAGCAGTTTATTGAGGGAAAACTCTTAAGTAATAGTGAATATGTTCCCTATTCTAATGTGTAACCGTTTAGTATACAGTTTAGTTAACTATAATCACAACAATATATATTTAAAGTCACATGCAGAGATAAATCAAATATTAAAACATTTCCTTGACCTTTGAAATGCAGGTATATGTGTGTGTGTGTGTGTGTGTGTGTGTGTGTGTGATCACCTGGCAGTTGTGAAGTTGTTGTTCAATGCATTGCTGCATGGCTGCGTCCTGTGCTTGCTGTCTCGACCCCTCCAGACTGACCTGTGCTCTCTCCAGACACACCTCCAGCTGCTTGGCCCTCTCACAGCAGGCATGAAGTAGCACGTCACCGGACAACCATCCACCCGAGCCCCCGGCTTCACCTGCGGCCTGGACAATCATACACAACAGCAGCTCAGAGCCAGATGTACATGAAGAGAGAAAAGAAAATCACGAGGCAGGGGAAGGATAATAGAAGACAGGTAAAGGTAAAGACAGGTGTACTGAGAGAGAGAGAGAGAGAGAACACCTGCTCTGGCTGACTGCAGCAGAAACAGTGAGTACACAGCAGCACAAACACACAAACACACACTGGGTGTGTCCTCTGACCCAGAGACAAACAAACTTTCATACTCTCACACACTCTGCTTTCTTTCTCTCTCAGTTTCTGTCTCACACAGGTTTAACCCTTTTGCTTGTTTCTCTGCCCTCTGGTGCAGTCTTTCCCTCAATAAACTGTCTCAGCTTTCATACCAGTCATTTGTCATGTAGCTTCTCTCTTTCTCTCTCTCTCTCTCTCTCTGTCTGTCCCTGGTTTTCTCCACCCACCTGTGGCTACAACTACTTCCTGGAATGTCGTCACTTTCGAGGGCAGCTTGTGTGACAAGGAACACACTCACACACACATTAAGGAGGAACTATACTTTTGCCTTGCACAGGCTCAAATGGCCTAGATTATTTTTCATCCTTTATTCTATTCCATTACAATTCACTTCTTTCTAGCTTTAGAAAAAATCCTGCTTTTGTCACAGAATATCTTAATTTATTGGAATTACTGCAATTCATAGATGTTACTCTTTCTTCCATATATCAGAAATATAGCCACATAGATTAGACGGGCTCTATAATAATTTAAGAATCAACCACCATAACCTATGGACTTCAAATCTGAAAACTGGGAATGTGTCCCCCTCAGTGTCTTTGGTGGTTATAGTCCTGGGTCATATTTTATCAAAATCTTTTCGTGATTTTTTTTTTTTTGTACTATGAAAACATACTTTCAGAAATCCAAACTTCCTTCCCAGTCCACAGAGACTTTTTATTAAAAACTTTTTGACGTCAGACAGACATATTTCAACACTGGACTGCCCGTATTTACATCAACGCCTATTCTGTGGGTAAGCTAATGAGGAAGTAGGATTTCTATGCAAAAGGGTATTTATATACAAGTATTAAAGTCACAACAGCAAAAAAAAAAAAAAAATTGGCCTCCTCAATTGTAACAATCAGAGAGTGAAATGATCATAAATAAACTAAATCAAGACTTTTTGACGTAAAAAAAAAAAAAGATTAACGTGGACATTTGCAGAAAAATATACAAATTGATTAGTTTAGTTTTGAATATTTTCTGCATATGGGTGGATTCCTGATTTTGTGCAGAGTTTAACACGGTAATAGTAATAATACCAAATATTAATAATATTAATAATAGTACATATCGAGCTGTTAATTATTAATAACCAACAATTAATGATTAATGAAGGATTATTTTTAAGGAATCACCTAGTTGCAAAGGTAAATTCCTGTTACTGAATCCAATCTTTGAGATCTCAGACTGCAAGAATAGCACTGAGTAGGCTATTCTAGTGTAAGAAACAGAAATATTTCTCCTTTGGGTGAGCAAAGAGAAATGTGCAGATAAAATGCAACACACACTCAGATTTACTACAGTTTGAAGTCAGCAGGTGAGTGAGTTGATGTGTAAAGTGTGAGTCAGTGGGGTGAGATTCACTATCAGCATCTGTGCTTACCAAAGATGCACTCGCAGCCAGTGGCTCTGTCCTCTCCAGGCAGGGCTTGACTGTAATTTGTGTGTGTGTGTCGTGTGTGCTTCTGCTGTCTAACCTACGGTCTTCTGCATTTGATGGAGTGTGTGTCAGAGTGTGTAAATGTTGCTCTGGTGATTTGGCTGATGGTGTATTTGTGGGTTTTGAGGAGCTCAGGCTCTGAGGCACAAAGGTGGTTTTCTCTAAGTGAGTCTGTTGACTGAGTGTGGAATGTATTTCTGAAACTACCTTCAGTTTTTCTGAGGAATCACCCAGCCCTTCATCAGAGGTCATGACATTAGGTAAGGTGTACATGTCTTTTGTTTCGGTGGGTGGGGCTTGTGACTCTGAATGTTTCTGTGTCATGTGTGTCAGTGTGAGTTTGTAATTGGTGTGTGGCGTCTGTTCCCCCCTCCATGCACCCTGCTCCTGACACAGACAGAGAAAGAGAGAGACGAGCAAGTGTGAATTTTTTGTTGGAATTTATTTTTTTTTCAGACTTGAAAGGAGCATGATAGTGTTCACACAGGAGGTATCAGAGGGAGAGATCAGGAGAACATGCACAGGTGCGTATAAGAGTCAGTGCGTTTACATGGCACAAAAAGACAAAATATAAATAACATAAAACATATACTACTGTTCTTCTTATATTCTTGAGCTTACTTTTAGAAAATGTGTCATGTAAACAACAATCGTTCATGAAAAACAATAAAACAATAAAATTAATCATAATACACATGCACTTAGACATAACTGTGCAGAGTGAGCAGCCAGCGATTAGCTGATTTTTATGGTTCACGTTACATTGTTTCACTCCACGAAACAAAATCTGTTCAACAATCCTTTCAGAGTAACCATCTTATCTTGCATTTGGAAAAAGAAAACACACTGCTATATAAAAACCAAAAAAATACATGCCATATAAAAGATTTTAGGATCTTTTTGGTATCATAGTATTGTATTTAGTAGCTAAAAGTCAAGGAAAAGATACCATGCAATGGACAAATACACTGATTTTCCTGCTTGGTTGGACATTTAATGCAATAATTATGCTTAAATGTGGAAAATAGTAATAATGAAAAGGTAATGAAAAGTAGGTGTGTCCAAAATTTTGACTGATAGTGTATAATGATATTTGTAAATAAAATAGTTTTATATCTGATGGAATCTGGTGGGAGTAACTGTGCAGCGTATGAAAAATAGTGCTTTTTAAGCGTTAAGGTGCAGTCATATTTATCGTCGCTCTGAGAAATTGTGCAGGTGAAATTTCTACTGAAATCGGCGCAGCGAAGAATTTTGCCTGATGGGCTTTTGGTGGCAAAAATAAATGTCCTTAATGTCAAAGTGAATTTTACGTCAGGTTCAGATTTGGTGAACTTTCTGTTCAGCCATTTTTTCATAACACTATACTTCAATACTATAACCAGATGAAGAAAACATCTGTTTAGAAAAAAATGATTTAGGGTTGGTTTGTTTGCTAGCTGGCAGAATAGTATATTTTGCAAAATTCAGTTGAGCAACGGTAAGTGTGAAAGCACCTTTATACTGTAGTTGATTATAATGGGATCCAGTTTGATTGTGCAACACCGCACACGTCCTGTATAGACACAGTGTAACATGTAAACATCGATATTATGGAAAGTGACAAAAATTCTAAATGCTCTTTGGTATTAGAATGTTCTCTCTCTCGATCTGCAGAATATCCTGACAGAATTAGTCAACATCAAAAACATTTAAAAAGAAAATCATAAACTCCTCCTCAGGAAGTTGCTTTAAGTCCTTATATACAATGATTTGTTTGATTTATATAAAACTATTTAGCCTAATTTTCCCCTTGTTTCATTATTGTGAACTCAGTTCCGAACTATTTGAAGAGATTCTCTCCTCGGAAGTCTTTATTTTTTTACACATCTGCCATGTAAATGCACTGGGAAGAGAGTTCTAGCTCTAGAAACATCTACATCTAGGGGTTGTAGAGGTGGGAGTTAAGACATGGAGGTTCTGTAGGGAGAGAACTACAACTAGGAGACCAAACACCTCTGCTGGCCTCTGGAAGGGGACGTGGAGATCTCTGTAACAGAGGAGGTATTGGTTACCATGTCTGCAGGGAGAGACTGGCTTTCCACTGTGGCATCTGCTTCAGATAAAGCTTCTGACACACCTGTTCCTGAGGCCACAGAGGTATCTACTTCTACCTGCAAACACAGGGAAAAAGAGGTTACTCTACATACTCTGATATGATATCTGATATGATATCTTTTTGTAGTTCCAAAAGACTACAAAACGTTAATAATGTTTTAAGTGGTCGAGAGGTTTAAGTGGCCACTTAGCACTTTTTAAAGAACAAAAATTTGACACACTGTCTTTTTTCAGAGGCTGCAAGGCAGAAATAATTTTGCCCCTGAATACACTGCACATACACATTAATGTGATCAAATAAAGACTGGCCATTACTGTAGAGGTCTAGTGTTACCTTTGAGTCTGCTGCTTCTGCTTGCTCCAAAATCTGTTCTGTAGAAGAGACCACGTCTGCAGAAACGGTGTCCTGCAAAAAAACAACAACAACATTTTCAACCACGTGATTGGTTATTCAAGTACAGATTAAGTCTTGTCTCAAACGGAAGAGTTTGCAAAACAAATTTATAAAGCCCAATATGTTGTGCATTATTATAGTTATTTGTCCATGGATAAGAGCTCTCTATATTGTGCCTATGAACACCTGCATGACAGAATCATGGTATTGTTAATAATACAGATTTAAACTTAAAGAGATAGCTCACCCAAAAATGAAAATTTGATGTTTATCTGCTTACCCTCAGGGCATCCAAGATGTAGGTGACTTTGTTTCTTCAGTAGAACACAAACGAAGATTTTTAACTCAAACCGTTGCAGTCTATCAGTCTTATAATGGCAGTCAATGGGCTCCACGGCTTTGAGAGTAAAAAAAAAACATACACAGACAAAACCAAATTAAACCCTGCGGCTCGTGACGATACATTGAGGTCTTAAGACACGAAACGATCGGTTTGTGCAAGAAACTGAACAGTATTTACATAATTTTTTACCTCCGATCCACTGCAATGTCCAACCGTCCTGAGCGCGTTCACAACACAGTATTTACATAATTTTTTACCTCCGATCCACTGCAATGTCCAACTGTCCTGAGCGCGTTCACAACATCCGGCGCGTGACGTCGAATAAATACGGTTGGGCAAAAAATTCCACGTTGTCTGATGATATATCAACATAGTCTTCCATTGTGATGACCTGTACTTCTAAATATCTTTAGATCATTGCAGTGCCAGTGAACACGTCCACAATCTCTCTGCACTGTGTAAATAATGAGGGATGTATACGCGTGACAGGTCGCTTCCACACATGCGTCTACTATCATACATATGCATAGATCCCTATTCGACCGCTCCAGATACGTTGACGCGTCCGCCATTTTGGAATGTATCGCGGCCCATAGAAACAGTCACTAATGAGGCATCTACTTAAATATATCTATGTCTATCTACTATGCCAGAGCACATACACGCGTCACGCGCCGGATGTTGTGAACGCGCTCAGACATTGCGGTGGATCAGAGATAAAAAAATATATAAATACTGTTCAGTTTCTTGCACAGACCGATCGTTTCATGTCTTAAGACCTCAATGTATCGTCACGAGCCGCAGGGTTTAATTTGGTATTGTCTGTGTATGTTTTTTTTACTCTCGAAGCCGTGGAGCCCATTGACTGCCATTATAAGACTGATAGACTGCAACGGTTTGAGCTAAAAATCTTTGTTTGTGTTCTACTGAAGAAACAAAGTCACCTACATCTTGGATGCCCTCGGGGTAAGCAGATAAACATCAAATTTTCATTTTTGGGTGAACTATCCCTTTAATCTCTGTAAATACACGTAATAAATTTTAGACGGATATAAATTAGATTTGCTTAATGTTTAAATTTATTCATCATGTGCCACATTTGCAAATGGAGATCACAGCACTTGTGATTCCCAAGTACAGGGAGTATCTGAAAAATAGTAAATGCAAACTCAATGAAAGAACGAAGTCATAGGAACGAGGAATAACACGCAGATCATCATCTAATCAAACTGCACTGTGTTCAGAAAAGTAAAATCTGAATTATCTAGTTATATTAAACTGAAAGAAAGAAATCAAAACTTTGATGTGACAAAGCAGAATCTGGAAGAAGAAGAAACAAGGACTTGGTGAAGATGAGGAGGGTGATGATAAATGTAGTAAAGTACACAACAGGTTAAGTCAAATGGTGGAAAAACTATGAACCATGTGATGGAAAGAGTAAGCATGTAGAAAACATGCAGAGGAAACATCAGGAGGTGTCCAGGGCTGAAGTCTCTAATCCCTCTGCATTACCTCCACAGTCATGCTGAAGGAAGCCTCGGAATTCAGAGAGGTTGGTGATCTTCCTCTTGCCTCCTCATTCTGATTTTTTATGCAATCTTCATAGTCTTCATCGGAAGCATCTTCCTCTCCATCTCCTGGATCTTCACAGAGCTCCTGCTCTTCCTCAGACTCCTGCTGTCCCATCACATCAGAGACACACACATGCACAGCAGCAGGCACAAACACAACCGTGCAACCACAGACAAACATAGCATCAACTGGAGTGATGGAGAGGTTTCCGCAGATAGACAGACTGCAGACATGTCATGTGCTGCACTTGATATTATTAACCTCACAAATATGCGAATAAGAAGGAATTATGCTACCCCGTGTTAGAACATTCTAGGTTAATAACATCAAGTGTGTGAAGCCAGCAGAACTCTAGCTTTTGCATTTGGCTGTACCAGAAATGCTAACGGTCTGTATTTTAGTACTTGTTTGAGAATATAAACCATTAAGTTTTTTTTTTTTTGACTAAAAGTGACAATAAAAACATTTATAAAAACAAACATGGTTGTGTTGTTTAAATAAATAAAGTACAAAAGAGCAGTATTTGTTTATCAACGAATCCTGAAAAAATGATCACGGTTCAACTATTTCAATGTTGATAATAACAGGAAATGTTTCTTGAGCACCAAAATCAGCATATTAAATTTATGAAGGATAATATGACACTAAGGACTAAACTAATGGCTGCTGAAAATTCAGCTTTGCCATCACAGGAATAAATTAATAAAATATTTTGACTTCAAATTGTAAATAATATTGTAATATTTCAAATTGTAATAATATTTCAAAATATTACAGTTTTTACTGAATTTTTGATCTAATTAATACAGCCTTGGCTTTCTAACTGTTTATTTGTATATTTACATAGAAATTAACATTTAAAAAGAGAAAGTGGATTATTGTACACTTAACATTTAAAAAAATATATATAAAAATACCAACAAGAACATGATTTTTTTTCAGTATTAGGGTTTCTTCCCATATGTAAAAGATATTTTTTAAAAGGATACTTTAAAATAAGTTTAAAAATATAAAATGAACATGTCCAGACTATTTTTAAAAATATTTATTTTTGGCATTTTTTGCCTTTATTATGAAAGGACAGATCAGAACTAACAGGAAGCGAAGTGGGAGAGAGATAGGGGTCAGGATCGGGAAAGGTCCTCAAGACGGGATTCGAACACGGGACGCCCGTAGCGCTATGACACTGTATGTCAGTGCGCTGCTCACAAGGCTATAACGGTGCTGACATTTTTTTTTTTTACTATTTTTGTTTTGAAGTAACTGTTTTATGAAAGCAATGAACTATGCATGCTGTGCCCAACAAAGCCTTTTAGCCATGACTATACTGCACCTTACATATACCTTATTTCTTAATTCTCATACCTGTGTTTCTGTGAGGGTGTGGCTGCTTCTATCAGAGATCCAGGTGAGTCTCTGCTCCAGTGTGGATTGCTCCACCGTCATCAGCGTTGCTCCTGACTTTTTCAGGATGTCCTCCTCTACGTGCACAATCTGAATCTGACCACTCTCCTGCACACACATATTATAATCAATATGTAATCACTGCCTCTTGATCAACATAATTGTAACCTAATATTTCGTCTAACCTGTGTGTCTTCCTCAGTGATTGTGGGTGGAACACTGAGGGGCGGCGCATTGAGGGGTGTGACACAGAGAGATGGGACAGATGTCTCCTGTACCTCAATCGAGTATTCTAGTGCCAGCTGAGAGGACACAAACATAATACTGAGCATTGTGTGAATTGTGTTTGCATGCTTGTGTGTGCATACAGTATATATGTACACCTGTTCAAGTTCCAGCAGTTGTTTCTGTAGTAGTTCTACTTTTTTGAACACTAGGAGTGTGTTTTCAGCTTTGTCAGGAAGACACAGACCATCTTTACAGTTCTGAATCTCAGTGACTGTCCTTTTCATCAGGTCAATCCTTTCTTCTGTTGCCTGCAAACACACACAGCAATCAGGATCTTAATAGTAACTACATCATTTTGGTTACACTCATACCTGGTCAAAAATTTTCTTTTACCTTAAGACTGTTCTGACTGATGTCTTCTTTGGTGGTCAGAGTAGATTTGATTTTGGCCACATCTTTCTCCATGACTTTCACCTCTGACTCAATGGCATCCACTTCCTTAAAAACACACCATGCAAACATACATGAACAGATGAAATTCACAAATTCATGAAATTCACTTTTCTCTTTTACAGATAACACAACTCTGCATTTGTATGCACTAAACTACAGTTTAGCTAACCTCCTTCTAGGAATGTTAGATAAAATAGAACACACACACACACACACACACACACACACACACACACAGATATGATATATATATATCTCATAAAAGTAATTATTATAAGCTTTATATAAAAACAATACAAGTCTATAATATATAGTCATTTATCTTATTAGACGCTGGTATGCTCACTGCTGCTGCATCCTCTAGCTGAGAGAGAGGCCCCAGCAGGTTGTGCTGCATGTCTGCCACACGTCGATCAGCATTTGAGAGCTGCTCCTCTAATGGACTGACATCAAACACACTTCCCATCTCTGTCAGCACACTGCCGAAACCATGTAGAGCCCGTCTCATCTGAGCAGAATCATCCAGAACCATCTAAAACACACACATACACATGTAGAGTATTATTTGACATGAAAATGATAAAGCACTTTTAGCCTAATACAAAGATCTGGGCCAGTAACCAAATACTAAGTTTAAACCCCACAGTGGGATGATACAGGTTTCTTCAGCAGTCAGCTAAATGATAATGACGTGTCTGAGGATAATACCTGCAGTGCATTCACATGACTGTCCAGGCATCTGGCAGTGGTGTATGTGCAGGGTGTCGTAAGCCAAGACTGAGCCTCTGAGATCCAGCTCTGTGACCCCTTCACCATCTCCTCCTGCTCCTGCAGCCAGTCACGGACCTACACAGAGACAGTTTAGATAACACACTTTAGATAACACACAATTTAAGTCATAAATTAGTTAGAATTCACTGAAACTCCTGTTTTCTCTATCATGTTTAACTTCTTTGCTCAATTTTAGATTAACCATTCTTTAAATATTTATACAAGTACAGCA